ATTTCTCTTAATTATTAATTGTGTGTGCATACCATCATAAAATTAAGAAGTTATTTTTGCTACAACGTAGGTATTGTGTCTGAAAAAGTGGAGTGTGGGGGTCGGCCCGGTCTCTAATTCAATTAATCCCATATGTTATGTTGTTCACTTTACGCGTTTCTCACTTTACGCGGGCCGCCGTGGGTTCAATTGACCACGTAAAGTGAGGGTTCACTGTAGATGTTCCATCGCGGCATCTCTGATAATACTCTTAAGTACTTTACATATTATGCTGGCCAGGCTCACCGGTCTATAGTTGTTCGTGGAATGAAGATCGCCCTTCTTGAAGATAGGACTCACATAAGCAATTTTCCAATCACTGGGGACCTTTTGTTCATCCAGACATTTACAGAACAGGATCTTCAGGGGCTCAGCAAGCTCATTGCACAACTCTCTGAGCACTCTGGGATGCACCATTAGGGTGGGTCATAGGAGGGAAGATCAGCTAAAACTAATGGCCCATCACTTTTTTGGTAGATTTTAGTGTATATAAACAGAAAATAATTTCAGTTTCAATATTTTGCAACCTTATGCTAGGTAAATTTTAGCGTGAAATTTATCGAAAATCTAATGTACAGCTGCATTAGTGCATTACAATTAAATAGTGAACATTGCTTTCTGACTTCATTCTTTAACAACCCAACTAACATTATTTTTTTCTGTTTCAGATTCTGATGCATTTATAAGTTGATAATATTTGCGATGGCTGCTTGTGTCAGGACGAGGAACCAAAAATCCAGCCATCTCAGTCACTATCTTGGGTCTGGAAGAGAGCTCCTGAAGTAGGAGTTGCCTACATTGAGAGATGCTTTGAGATACGGTGTTTTAATCAGGCAAATCAGTGAAAAGAACCAAAGAACTTACACAAACAAAGACATTGCCAGTGATATGACCAAAGCTGTCTTGGCACAGTACACTCTGGCTAACGCTCAGTTCAAGCCTCCAGTCATAACAAGTCAGAAGAAGATTAGTGAGAGACTGCTAGCCAGTTGGGAAAAGGCAAGAAGATATCTCTCTTGGGGAGAGAGGAAAACTTGCAGTTGAGGACAGCTTTGCCAATAACTGGACCCAGTTATTTGACATAATTACTTGCAAGTGCCCAATTGTTCTCTGTCTGAGTTTGGATCGTCGTGACTGTAAAATCCGAGGCCCACATCTCCTGTATTTGCAAGCGTGAACTGAAGATTCCTGTGGTCGAACTGGCATTTGTCAAAGCACAGAGACTGGCAGTATAGGGCTCTCATGATTTCTAGCCAAGATATTCCGGAGTCCAAGAGACAGGAGGCTCCCACAGAGAGACAGAAGAGGAGAAGAGTTGCCGAGGAAAAGAGACTTGAGAAGGCCCAGGGTGAGGTAAAAAAGGCCGATGATTGGAGTCAAGCTGATTCAGAGTTTAATGACTTCCCCATGGCTGATCCGAGTGCTGACCAGGAGAATGATGACTTTGTCCCTAACCCAGAAAATAATGATCCCAAACCTTCCAGGCATAAGATTCGAAATAGGAAAGATATCCCGAGCATAGCTCTGGCCAGCATCCGACACCACACTGGTCTCAGAGAAACTGCAGAGATAGCAACAGCTGCCTGGATTGACGGTGGTTTGATAACACCTGATGATGTTCACCTGGTGATAGATCATAACAAAGTAAGGAAAGCTCAGGAGAAACTTGTCAGTAACCTAGAAGAGGAGTTTGATAAGGGGATAAGAGAAAATGGAATCAATTGTTTGTTCTTTGATGGGAGAAGGAATGACACTAAAGTGTTCATGAAAGTTGGAGATTCTGACAAGTTGTTTCCTGCCATGGTGAAGGAGGAACACTACTCCTGCTGCAGTGAACCAGGAGGGAAGTATTTGTGGCATTTCACTCCAGAGAAAGATGACATCAGGAAACCAGCTGAGATAATGGCAGATAACATTGTGAACTGGCTCAGAGAGAGGAACGTAGACCAGACCCTGCAGGCCATTGGAGGGGACAGCACCAACACGAACACAGGGTGGCAAGGGGGGGTCATACAGTGGATAGAGCGGAAGATTGGGAGGAAGCTGGTCTGGATTGTTTGTGACCTCCACACCAGCGAGTTGCCACTCAGACATCTGATCCAGGAGCTGGATGGCAAGACCTTTCAAACAATGATGGTCTGGTCCTCTTGGCAAGATGCTGGACTCTGCCACTCGAGTTAGAAATAAACTGAAGCCTTGAAAAATCACAGTTGGCCCTCCACTGCTGAGCTTGCACATACTGTCATTGACGACCTGAGTACCGACTGTACTATGGTTGCCACGATTTGCAGTGCCATCAAACCGGGGGGTCATGCCTGATAGACTTGCTTACCTGCAGATAGGTCCAGTCTCATTATCTCTAGGTGGTCACAACGGTTTCAGGTTCTACAGAATTTGGGTCAGCCCATCATAAACTGAAAGGGAACCAGCTTCACAACCTGAGATCCTATTGTCCACCTATCGAGGTTCACTTGCCAAATTGGTTCAACACCAAGGTCAAGTCATCGCTCTCCCAAGGTCCGAGGCATGTCTTCTTCCAGCTTGAGCGCCCTCTGGAGGAGTCAGCTGGGCGAAGGTTGTTCAGATTGTGGAGCAGATCAGAGGAGATCTTCTGCATCATCCTTAAGGCAGTTCTGCAGACAATGCCTTGCAGTAAGGATGAGGAGGAGAGAAGAGTGGCAGTCAAAAAGATCTTGGATATGAGACTTATGAGAGGATCTGGGCATGACTAACGTTGGTGGACGATTCCCTTCAGGGTCAGAAAGACTCCTGAAGTCAATCTAGGTGCCAAGACCCTCACTGATCTCATAGATCTGATAACATCCAGGCTGGCAGTGAGCCCCCTCTACCTGCAGCCTCACCCAATGTTCAAGTCAGAGCTCTGGACAATCCCCATGCATGTCCCTGCCTGGCCCCTCGCACACCCAGAGTATAGAGCGCAAGGCACAGCAAGTGAGCGAGGCCAGCAGTCACTGCAGGCTGAGCCAGGAGAGGAGGGAAGGCTACATCCTGAGCTCAGGTGGTCAGGCAGGGAGGTGATGAGTAGAAACAGAAGCAAGAAAAGACATGTTCTCATGGTGTGCAGCAACACCGGTCGTGAGTAGTAAACCGGTTTTGTATTTGATGACGCGTTTTCTAAAGGAATATTAAATTTACTGAATGTGTCAAGATCATTAGTTTAATTATTCTGGATCATTTTCATCCTAATAAATTAACCTGATACATTTACTTTACTTAAATAAGCTATTTAGTGGTGTTGGTAAAAGTGTGAATACTGAATTTTCATAAAGATTTCAAGTTGTACCCTACCTCGCAAAAAATGAAAACTTTTCAAATCTGGAAGATATCATGATTCTGCACATAGAACTACATCACATTAACATTCATGGGCCGATGCCAAACTCAAAATGCCTCCCGATAAACATGCACACCCTAATGCACCATGTCAAGGCCAGGACTCTTATGGACCTTTAGCTTTGACTGTTTATTTCTAATACCCTCTTCTGTGAACACACAATCAGTGCTGTGTCGAACCGTCTGTCCTCAAACGCAGGAAGGTTAATCGTATTCTCTCGTGAACACCAAGGAAAAGAAACTGTTCAATGCCTCAGCTTTAGCCTGGTCAGAATCTGCTTAACTACCATCTTCAAGCCTCAGGTCTCATACTCCTACTTGCGTTTTTAATTTTGACTTTGCATAGCGGTAAAACGCTTTTGGGTTTGACTTGACCTCGCTTGCAACCAGCCTCTGGAACTCCTTTTCAGCCCTTCTACACACTGCCATTGCTTGGGTTCTGGCTCTTGCATACATCTTCCTGTCCCTCATGATTTGACCTAACCCACGTTGTCAAACTCTACTATGGTTAAATCAGTTTTGATTTTCTGAAAGGCTTGAAAATGAAACAGAAACTCAATGTGCAAATTTGATGGAATATATGCACAATTTTGTCAGTTCATATCACTCTGAATAACTTGTTGCAAAGTGGTTGAATGTGCTGTTGTATATTTGTCCGGAAAAAAATATAGTGAAGAATGTTGTACACTTTATACACAAACATTCCTCTGCCTTGCAACCTGATGAACCCCTTCATTCACCTCAAATTCCTCATCACTTATTCTCACAGCATTTTTTGAGCTCTCACATAATGTCATGACCACTTGATGAAGATACTCCTTGACCCCTAGTTTTCTCATTGCCTGCTTTAGTGCTTCACATGGTACCCTGTGAAAAGCCTTCTCATATGTGGTAAGACTTTCTTGCCTTCCCTAGATCTCTGTATATTTCTCTTGTCGTTGCTTGGCCATAATTATTGCCTCAATAGTCCCCCTACCTGTCATGAACCCAACTGACATTTCATTAATGTCCACTCTTTCCATTATCAATTTCTTGATCACTCTTTCCACAACTTTCACAATCTGATCTAACAGCTTCAGGCCCCTGGAGTACATAATTTCTGTTACCTGTGAATACTGTTCAATAATAAAATACAAATATAATCCAGATAACCTGGTGGTAGTTGTTGAGAAAAATTGGGGGTTACTGAGTAACTACTCACTGTATACAGTCGTTACAAGGAACTGACCCATATTACAGGGCCCCCCCCCCAAATTCGAGGGGGTTAAGTTCTCAAAATGGTTGCAAATCGCCAACCATAATAACAGTTGCTAACCAGGGGGTGGGGGGTTACATCTGTGTCTGATGATTTATGAGAGTATTTTCCCATTATAATTTATTTTTATGTGTGTCTACACACACACATATTTACAATACAGATAAAGGAAATTACTGTCTCGAGAACGAATGGCTCCCTGTCCCACCCTGAAAATGCTGGCAACTTTGAAACTACCCACAGACATTCTTGGGTACATCCAGGGTGTCATCCACGAATAATAGAGGACCACAAAATAAAAATCTGCAAATTTGGGGGGGGGGGCCCCCTGTACTTGAAGAGTAATTCAGACCTCTGTATGTGTAGGAAGGGTGAGTGCATGCCGACTTAACCATTTGCTTGGTGCCCAGAGTATCAGCTGACACAATGTTGCTGCAATATTGACACTTGGCCTCTGTAGAAAAACAAGAGAAAAAAATATTTGTAAGCATATGTCCATGCCTTGAAACAGACAAACAAACAGCCATACTAATACCTGCATTACTACTTTGCTGTCACTCGGAACCAATTATGACAATCATCCCATGATACAATGATTTGATATAAAGATGTCACCTTTGTTGGTGAGCTACGAGGCAACTCGAGAGGCTGATACAGGACCGGCAGGGCTGTCCACAGATATTGCACGTGTGGAGGACTACATCTAGTGTGGGAAGGGCGGTGGCAGCATCTTTCCGGCGCTTGTCTGCCTCAATGTGCAGTCGGGCTACCTTGAAAGTATTGACACCTCATATGGTGCTCCTACAAGCATTATGGTGTGGAGTGATCGTCTTTGAAGTAAAAGGGCCAATTTGGCATTTTTTTCAGGTTTTTTCGACCCAAAACTTTTATATTATTAAATGCTGTTTTTGCTTGCTCTATTCTTGAGAGGCCCCCCAATACCAAGAACTAACTGACTGAGCATAGTTTACTAACTTGAGAGTCTCCTAGCTCCAAGAGAACAGCTGTTGCACCAAGACACTTAAAATAGAGTAGGATGTGGAGGAAGGAGAAATTGTTCTTATCGCCACAATGGCTTGCATAAATGGGGAAATGAAGGTATAACCAAGTTTTGCAATCTACATCCTCTATTATGAGTTTGGGACATAAAAAAGTTGTTTACTGATGCTTAACAAGATAAATGGATATTGCTTAACCCTTTGCCTTACTAAAATAAATTAATGTACCTTGGAAAAAAAGTTTGTGCAAAAAGAGTTCTTCACGAGTTGCTTTAATTTTTCAAATACTGTACAAGTAACCTTGGGATACTTGATTTTGTCCATTTCATATTAACAGATGGCAGCACAAGATGTGTTAACAGTCACTCAGTTGATGGAATGGCATAGCAAGGGGAGCGAGAAGTGATGAATATTAATAATTTTCTCACCATTTCCAGCCATTTTTTACCCCTAAAAATCTCTAGTGAGGAAATATCCTATGCTGATAGTAATGAATATGTAGACAAAGATGAGTCTGGAAGTAAGAGTGATGTTGTTTCTGACACTGAAAACTCAGATTCTGATGACAAACCAGCAAGTCAGACTGTTGTTCAGGGTTGGAAACAGGTAGATCTGGCTCTTCCTCTTGTTCAACCATTCCCTCAATTTCCATAAACCAGTGAGGCTTCTGTGAATTATATTTCTGACCCACATGATAGTACAGTATTGTATATTGCAATACTTCAACTTTTTTTAATGATCTTGTTGATGTACTGTGATGTACTGTACCTGCATATACCCTTCATAGTTGTCCATTTTTAATGTAATTCCTGAAGTATCTTGGGAGAGTAATTAAAGTGTACTTGACTGTATAATAACTTATATAAAAAATCTATAACTACTGTAAATGTTTTGGTTACTTTGTCCATATTTTTTTTTCCAGAACCTTTTGAAATAAATGGATAAAGCAAAGGTTTAATGAGTTTGTTTAGATATACAAAATGCTTTCTCCTGAAACAATATCATTATATTTCCTGCTACAACTACAAGTAGAAAAGAATAAAAAGTAAAATGATATACATGTATACTATCATGCATCTCGAGATTCACGGTGAAAATATCATGAACCAAGTGCTTAACCGAGGCCAGAACACTCTTTGGTAAGCGTGGCAACTGAGATTCTTTGTAAGTAGCAGAGTCAAGATACTTTTGTTTACCACCCGCTGCACTTTGCTCAGTGGGACAAAATGGATTTTCTAATCCAAATAATTCATATGCCAAAGCTCCAACTGCCCACAAATCCGAATTAGAATAGTCCACATATCGCAAGAGGCCAGGAACAGCTGTCTTAACCTGTAAAGATAAATAATATTAATTATAAGATTAACAGTATAAATTGTATGACATACTGTACCACAAAATCGTTACCACAAAAATACGAAGGTACTGTTGAGAAATTAACACTTCACTTACGGTATGTAGAAAAGAACAAATTACAAATTATTGTATTTACTCCAGGAGTTTTTCAAATTTATGCTTCAGTATGTATCCTTACCTCAGGAGCCATCAGTGCAGCATTGCCTTGTCTGGGATCTGCTTCATAAGATGGAAAAGAAATAGTCATGTTCGATGTATCATTGGCGATACTGCACCCAAAATCAGTCAAAACTAGCAATGGATACTGCCATCCTTCAGCCAGCGACAAAAGAATGTTATCCGATTTAAGATCCCTGGAAAGAGAACAATAGATTGTCATAAGTGACATCCAAAGATTGAATGAATTATAGCACAGAACTACTACTTTACAATCTTTCATATGACATCAGTTAAAAAAAAGTAAAATATGAATTAAATCATAAGGAGGAAACACTGCACACTATATGCTAATAATAAATCTCACAAAATTATCTAAACATTTAAAGGAGAGACTCAATAAGGAAATGAGTCAGGAGGTAAAAACTGTACCTGTGAACCACATTATGGTTATTGAGGTGAAGTACTGCCTCCAGCAGCTGAGTTAGAAGGAGAAGGGAGGTGTGACCTGGAGGCTTGTGTTGAATCAGGTATTCACGAAGACTCGTATCATACCTGCATATGAGAAATCAGTTCACAACAATAGATATTTATATTCAAAGATATCTTATATGAAAATGTCTCTCAAATTTAACAGCAAAAATTGTTCAGTCAAATAAAATAAAATATGAAATGGATTACAGGTTGTACCTCTCAAGTCCGGCAACCTCGGGACCTGAACGGTGCCGGACCATGGAAATTCACTCATTTCCTGGATAGATAGTGACTTGTGCTTATACTTGGAAGCACTAGCACCACTTTCTCTGCATCATGGTCTCTTTGAAGACATATTGAAGGGTTAAATGTCGTATAGTAGCTTCTCAAATTTCGCGAGTTTTTAATTCAACATATTTTATTGGAACACAAAAAATAAATAAATAAATACAAATTTTGACGGCGGAAACTTGAATTTCGACGGGTTTGAACGGCCCGCCAACGTGCAGACGACGTGCATAATCGTGTAAACAGCGTCATTTCTCTTATGTACAAAAGATTCATTATTGTTTATTACTGAATGTCTTTTTTATTGAATTAATGTTTATGTGTGCAAAATGAACAATACAATTCATTAATAATACGTAGAATATTAGAACACACGAGGAAATGACACAGCATTGTTTTCGTTGATTACAAAACCAGTGACTGACTGGTTCTACATATAAAACTGAAGAAAATAAGACCTTGGCTGTAGCTGTAGTAAAATTAATATGGTTGTTTTAAGTAATGTTATTTAATGTTAATAAATGGATTAATAGAAGTAGCTAACAATAATGGTAAAGAAAAAAGAGAGATCGCGTACGTAAGTGCGCACACGTGAAAACATCGTCATTACTTTACCTAAGAATATGAAAGCAACACTTATTTACTGTTCATATATATTTTAATTAATGTTTCTGAATTTGTTTTTATTGAATTAATGTTTGTGTGTGCAAAATTAACAATACAATTTATTAATAATAAGTGGAATATTAAAACACACGAGGACGAGATGGCTGTTGGCATTGTTTTTGTTAAAGCTTACAAAACCAGTGACTGATTGGTTCTACATATAAAACTGAAGAAAATAAGACCCTGATTGTAGCTGTAGTAAAATTAATGTAAAAAAATTAATATGGTTGTTTGAAGTACCTGTAATGTTATTTAATGTTAATAAATGAAACAATATAAGTAGCTAACCATTAATGGTAAAAAAAAAGTGAGACTGCACGTATGTAAGTGCGCACATGTGAAAACATATCGTCATTACTCTACATAAGAATATGAAAGCAACACTTATTTACTGCTCATATATATTAAAGGGTTAAATGTTGTACTCTGTATAGACAAGCAGAGGGAGAGAGAGAGAGAGCAGCCGAACTGCCGGATGTAAACAAACCTTAATTTCCCGCGGCTTTGTTGTTGGTTTTTTTTACGGGGATTAGCCCACCCGGGCACAAGTCACTGACCCACATTGGGGCCTGAGGGGCAAAAATTTAATACTCCTGTAATAATAATAATAATTCAGATAAGAAAAAAAAAAAAAAAAAAAAAAAAAAAAAAAAATCTACCTATTGGACAAACTAAAATCGTTCCGGACCACGGGAGTTTCCGGACCACAGAGGTACAACCTGTAATTAGTGTATGTCAAGCTTGCTAGAGAAGAGAAAAGAGGAAGAGGTATCTCTCACATAACAATGGGGAGGTGTTCCTGAAAACCCATGATTAAGCGAAATGATCGCTAAATGAGGAATAATACCCGTGGAGACAGCTTTTATGTTTTTTTTTTTACGGGGATTAACCCACCCAGGCACAGGTCATCGATATCAGAGTAAAGTACCTTTATTGTAATGTTGCATACTTGAAGCACAGAATTCTTAGTACAGTCATGCACCGGTTAACGTCCGACCGAACAACGTCCGACATATATGTCCGTGCCCCCCAAATCTGTGACGCCTGCTGGACCACCACTCCACGACCCCCTGACGGAGACACGATGATCCTCCCCATACTGGTCAGATATTATGTGTTAAGGTAATATGCTTCCTTGATTAGGCTTTTTTTAAACATTTGCCTCCAGGTGTAATGTTAACCTACATCTATTGAGGATAAAATCTTTCACCTACAAATTGACAATAACACATTTGCTGTAATCAGACATCTAGTTGCCTCAACAATTGCAACCGCAGTTGCAATTGGGGTTGCAATTTCAAATTCTGTGGCATTACTAAGTATAGTGAAGTCTCTGGTGCACTCTAAGATTAAGAGAGAAAACGGAGGACTCAGGTGTCCTGATGTGAGAGAAAACGGACTCGTATGACGGGGGACCAAATAAACAAAGCATAGCTACATGTTTTGTGGACTACAGTATTAAGCGTAACCTTTTCATCACTTTGTAATAAACCTAACCATGCCTATGTGTGTTTATGATATTTACCATAACATTATATATATATATTTAGTGGGTCTAAATGGTCGTAAAATGGGAAACCTGGGGTTGGGTCTTGGGTGCCTGGAACCAATTAGAGTAAATCCCATAGGTTCTGTACTTTCGTTATCGGCGGGGTCCCAATTAGGTGTGATAACCAAGGGATGGCTGTACTGTACTGTATATACTTGTGACACTGGCCAGTTGCTTCTGGTGTTATGGTACAGGGGTACCAAGTGACAGCACTAGGATCCCACTTCCTCTATCAAGGAATAAACAATTAAAATTTAAATTGAAAAAAAAAAAAAAAATTCAAATAATGGGACCTAGCGAACCTAAATGGCCCTAGAGCGGGCACAGTCACGTATGCATCGCGTATTCTTATAGATTGTGCTGCCAGGCGTACGTTATCTAGTGAATTTAGTCAATATTGTACAGTAACAATGGACCTAAGTGCAAACCTGTATTGTACATCTACTGAATGATTACGGTACTAAAATTGTTATGTCTGTTGCAAGTATAGCTTGTTTATACAGGTATTCAAATAAATTACTATCTTACAAGAATCCCTCCAATGTAAGTTATATTCGCCCAGGTCGTTTGGGTGGCAAATTATGAGAAGAGCTTAGTCACTCTTAAGTAATGATAAATAAACACGCAGGTAGGCCTTCAGCGCCAACTGTCAAATCTTATCTCAAATAAATAAACAAGCAAACGCCAGACATTCTGTCACACCCCCCCCCACTTCCCACCCTCCTTGTGTTCCCAGATAAAGGATTGGTGATTTCTTTTTTTATTTTATATAATATCTCAGACTAAAGTTAGGATAATATAATTTGCATTGCTGAAATCCTTGCAAGACAGAGATTAATTTGAATATAAGCATCATATATTTTGCTCAAGATATAAAAAATGTAGTACATTAGTGTACAGTACTCCCTCTTTATCGACGGGGGTTACGTTCTGTAAACGGCCGTCGATAAAGAAACCGTCGATACCGTGATGGTTGCGTAATTTTTCTAACTATTATTAGCATATGTTGAATAAATGTACCTTTAAGCATTAATGCGTTTCCTTTACACATAACCTTAAATAATAGTGTATAAATAATAATATAATAAGTGGACAAAAATACTAGCAAACTTACGATTTCATTTATTGAAGTGAACATCGGTCCTTACAGTAAACAATACAGTGTACAGTATATACAAGTGTGATGATTGAGGCTTATTAAAAGCCTGACCAGTCAGATGAGTATGATTAGTCAAGGTCTGCATCTTCTTGAGGGGTGTGGGCAGGTACTGCGTCTTGTTGTTGTGAGGTGCCGGCAGCTTCTACGTCTTGTTGTTGTGAGGTGTCGGCAGCTTCTGCCTCCTGTTGCAGGATGCCGGCAGGTTCGGCGATGGCAGGCACTCGGCGACTGAAGAAGTTGGTGATGGTGGTCTGTGCTTTCTTGCTTCTCATTTCCCTCTGCAGTTCTATATATGGCAACATAACATTTTCAATAGCTCTCTTTGCTTTAAGGGACCTATCAAGGGAGGGATCAATGTCATAGAGACGAGCAGAGAGGGCCTTACTCATTCTTATTACTTCACCAAGATTATCTAAAGTTAAGTTCTTATTTTCATCATCACTCACTTCATCGTCTGTTTCATCCTGCAGCTCCACTAATTGTTCTAGTTCATCACTTGTAAATGGGTCCCCAACATTTCCCAATAACTCTTCTTGCACCTCTGCCGCTGTTAGGTCAGAGAACCCTTCACCTCCAACTTCATTTGCCATAGTTATTATGTTGCGTAACTGAGGCTCGGCTGTTGGGAACCCTGTGAATGTTGGGACAATTTCAGGCCACAATTTTTTCCAACATGATCGGACACAGTTCTGCGACAGTTCATTGTGGCTTTCAGCGATGAAGTTTATGCACTGTGCAATATCAAATTTCTTCCACATTTCTCTGGGTGTCACATCAGCATCCTTATCAAGGCACTCACGAATCATGCTGAAAGTCTTCTCTGCATATTTAGCCTTAAACATGACAATGACTCCCTGGTCCATTGGCTGGATGATGGAGGTGGTGTTTTTTGGCAGGAAAACCACCTCAATGTTGGGGTGGGCAGTCTTGAGTTCTTCAGAGTGGCCAGGGCAATTATCTAGACATAATACCACTTTGAACTCCATGCCAAGTTCATCCAGATAATTTTTCACCTCTCTAGCAAAGCAGTTTTTCAGCCAATCCACGCACAAATCAGATGTCATCCACGCTTTCTTGTTGTTCCTGTAGAAAACTGGTAGCAAGTTCATGTTTTTATTTTTGAGAGCCCGAGGTCGTGCGGCAGTGTATAACAACATGGGCTTAATCATATGCCCTGCCGCATTCCCACATAGCATCACTGTCACTCGGTCCTTCGCAACTTTAAATCCAGGGGCACTTTTTTCCTCTTTAGAGATGTAGGTTCGGCGTGGCATCTTCCACCATAGGCCTGTCTCATCAGCATTAAAAACTTGTTCCGGCCTATAACCCTTTTGTGCTATGTGGTTAGCAAACTCTGCAGGGTATGCTTCCCCTGCCACAGTGTCTGCTGATGCTGCTTCGCCAGTCACTTTTATATTA